CTCCTCCTCCTCCTCCTCCTCCTCCTCCTCCTCCTCCTCCTCCTCCTCCTCCTCCTTCTCCTCCCCTAGTCATCACCCCCTCTCGGCCGTCCACGATGCCTGGGCCTCTGGGCCCGAGTCGGCCCCCGAGCCGGGCCCCTGGAGTGCGCTGGAGCCGGGATGCCCGCGCGGCCATCGCCGCTGCATCTACGCGGCCACCGAGGGTGGCTGCCGGGGCCCGCGCCGTTCTCTCGCGGGGCTCCCGCGCTGGCTCCGAGGGCCTGCAGTGAGGGCCATCTCGCCGTGGTGCCGCGGACACGCGGCTGGCTCAAGACGTCGCTCCCGCCTCGGCGCCCGCGGGCTCCCAGCTGAGGACGGCCCTACCGCCTCCTCAGCGCCAGCCGCGCCCCTGGCCTGGAGTGCTGCTCCGGCCCGAGCTGCGGCCACCCTCCTGACCTGGAGTGGCGATCGTGCCCTTGCGCTTGCCGCTTTCCAAGCTCAAGCTTCTGCCACAGTTCCAGTCAGGACAGGTGGATCCACCCCATCGCCTGCCACCCAAACGCTGGGCGCTCGCACTTCGGAATTGTGAGTCCAGCGGTTGCATGGGGAAAGAAGACGTGGAAGGGGGACGGGGAGGGTGGGGGGGGGGGGGGGGCAGGAGCCCGAGGGAAGGGGGGGGAGATGAAGGGGGGGGATGGGGATGAGGATATGTCTTGTTGAGTGGGACGGGGAAGCGATGGGGAGGGGGAGGAGGAGGAAGATGAGGCGGATCAGGAGGACGCAGCGGGGCAAGAATCCTACCGCTTCTCTCCTGGCCAAAGGCCGCCAAATATCGTCCATGTGAGGCCCCCCCCGTGGACCCCGTCCGGGTCCAGTTTTCGAGGTGCCCCCGAGGCTCCAGAAGACCCAAGAGGCCCCCCCCTCTCCTGTCCTCCTCGCATACATGAGTATCGTTTAACCGATCCCCGTCCCCAGCGGCGTGGCCTGGGCCCCACTGGCCGATTTACCGTATCCTCCCCAACTGGGGTGGTAATTTGGGGGGGTCTCGAAGTGGATGGGGATGGGGATGGGGATTGGTTAAACGATACCGAAAACAGGGTCGGCAGCACGAGCCGCTCGGCCTTCGCAATCGGCCCTGTGAGCCCCCCGTGGGCCCCATCCCGGTGCAGTGCTCGAGCCGCCTCTGGCCGGGGCGGCCTCCCCAGGAGAGGTGGCGGGGACGCATGGGAACGTCGCCGCTGGAGCCCGAGGTGGAGCTCCCTATGGGGCCACGAACCGCGTGAGGGGTGTGCCAAGAGTGGGTGGCGGCCACGGAGGGCCCAGGTGGGGTTCCCCATGGAGCCACGAAACGCGTGAGGGGTGTGCCAAAGTGGGTGGCGGGGACGCATGGGAACGTCGCCACTGGGATAATGTGATGCCTTCGGCATGCGGGCCCCCGACCGCGCAACCAGGAGCGACTTTCTTCCCCTGGATCGTTCTCTTGACGGTCACAGGGCCCGAAGATGCCGCACCCCGGGAGGCGAAAACATCCCGCCTTGACGTTCACAAAACGTTTGAGGTCAGCGCCAAATGAAATCCGGCCGCAGCGACGAAAGCCCCCCGCAAGCCCAAAAGGTGGAAAACATGACAGCACCAACAAGAAACTCAAGCCCCGATCCTGGACCCCCGATGGGGAGGAGGAGGAGGAGGAGGAGGAGGAGGAGGAGGAGGAGGAGGAGGAGGAGGAGGAGTAGGAGGAGGAGGAGGAGGAGGGAGGAAGGAGGAGGAGGGAGGAGGAGGAGGCAGGAGGAGGAGGAGGAGGAGGAGGAGGAGGAGGAGGAGAAGGACCCCTAAAGACCTGGACCACTTCCCAGGGACCAGCGTGTTCCGTCCCGAGCCGTCTCTTCACAGCCCCGGGGCCGAGCAACCGGTGAGAAGCTTCCCGCCCGCGCCTCTTGCCCACGGCGCCGAGGAGGCCTGCGGGTGCGCCAACCCCCACGAGCTGCGAGCCCGGAAGCGCGGCAAGGTCGCCCGGGCCCCCCCGGCGGGGGCGGCAGCCGCACAAAGCCGAGCGGCACCTCCAGCGTCCTGCCGCCCTCGAGGCCCACGACGCACCTCTCGCAGGGCGGCGCCCCCGGGGGGGAGGGATGGGGCCACGGCATCCACGGCGGGAGGGAGGGGGTTGCGGGGGGGCGGACGGTGGAAGGGAGGGCAGGGGGAGGACGATGGTCGGGAGGAAGCACAGGAGGGGAGGGGGGAGGCTGATTGCTTGGGGAGGGGGAGGATCCGCGGCGAGGGCAGGCAGTAGGAGGATGGGGAGGGGGAGGAGGGGGGAGGAGGGGGGGAGGAAGGGAGGGAGGAGAACTGGGGTCCGGTGTCATCGCTGCTGCTGTCCCTTCCGCGAGAAGGAGGAGGAAGAGGAGAACGACTGCGACATGGGAAACTGGAGAAAGATGGAGGAGAAGGAGAAACGAAAGAATTGGAGAAGGCGGAGAGAGGAGCATGAGCAGGGAGGAGTGAAAGGAGTGTGGCGTTGATGAAACTCTGGAAAAGGAAATAAGGATGGTGAGACGGAGAAAAAAGAAGAGAGCACATGGTCCTGCCAGGCATAATCGGACAAAGGTGAGCGCGAAAGAAGGAAAGACCACATCGCACGAACAGCATCATAACCAACTGAGCGCTGGGCCGAGGCACAGCATAATAAGGACACATGATTCCACAATACAACCCTCACATGTACATGGATGGGTACAAATACACATACATAAGTGTATATATACACACATACACGAATACACCCCAGTTGTTGCATGCGCTTGAGGGACCTGCAACAATGTTCAGAGGAGGCGTTGAGGGCGACCACCGTAGCCTCCTCCCAAGCCTGCGGCACATGATCACTACAACATGGAAGTGCCAAAATGGCAGGTAAGCAGTGCTTGCGTTAGTGGCGACAAGGACACCATGCGGGCATTCAACCACCCTCCATCGACGAAGACGCGCGAACAACATCCCCTGCTTCCAGCATGACTCGAGGAGCAGGCCGACCTGGCCTGCTCATCCGCACTCGATGCAGCCGCATACACACAATGACCCGCCACCGTGCCCCCTGGCAAGTTGAGGCGGGGTAGAATGCCAAGGGCAATCGAGATTATCTAAGCGGTCGAAGGATAGGTCGGGCATGTCCCCCTACAGGAGGGTTTTGCGCGACAAATGAAAGAGGCCCCCCAAACTACTGAACTATGCCGGCAAAGCAACCTAACAGCGATATGTAGGAGCAGATCTGGAAGCATTCCCCTTAAGATTCAGATGAGAATCCTGTTGTAGAATTCTGCTGTTCTCGCAGTCGTAGTCGCATTCGCGATGGCAGTCGCAGCGGCAACGGCAGTCGCAGTCACAGCCTCAGCCTCAGCCTGCCTCAGCCTCAGCCTCAGCCTGCCTCAGCCTCAGCCTACCTTAGCCTCAGCCTCAGCCTGCTTCAGCCTCAACATCAGTCTGCCTGCAGCCTCGGCCTCATCCTCAGCCTGCCTCAGCCTCAGGCTGCCTCAGCCTCAGCCTCAGCCTCAGCCTCACCCTGCCTCAGCCTCAGCCTGCCTCAGCCTCAGCCTCAGCCTGCTTCAGCCTCAGCCTCAGTCTGCCTTCAGCCTCGGCCTCAGCCTCAGCCTGCCTCAGCCTCAGCCTGCATCAGCCTCAGCCTCAGCCTCAGCCTGCCTCAGCATCAGCCTGCCTCAGCCTCAGCCTCAGCCTGCCTCTGCCTCAGCCTCAGCCTGCTTCAGCCTCAGCCTCAGTCTGCCTTCAGCCTCGGCCTCAGCCTCAGCCTGCCTCAGCCTCAGCCTGCATCAGCCTCAGCCTCAGCCTCAGCCTGCCTCAGCATCAGCCTGCCTCAGCCTCAGCCTCAGCCTGCCTCAGCCTCAGCCTCAGCCTGCTTCAGCCTCAGCCTCAGTCTGCCTTCAGCCTCGGCCTCAGCCTCAGCCTGCCTCAGCCTCAGCCTGCATCAGCCTCAGCCTCAGCCTCAGCCTGCCTCAGCATCAGCCTGCCTCAGCCTCAGCCTCAGCCTGCCTCTGCCTCAGCCTCAGCCTGCTTCAGCCTCAGCCTCAGTCTGCCTTCAGCCTCGGCCTCAGCCTCAGCCTGCCTCAGCCTCAGCCTGCATCAGCCTCAGCCTCAGCCTCAGCCTGCCTCAGCATCAGCCTGCCTCAGCCTCAGCCTCAGCCTGCCTCAGCCTCAGCCTCAGCCTGCTTCAGCCTCAGCCTCAGTGTGCCTTCAGCCTCGGCCTCAGCCTCAGCCTGCCTCAGCCTCAGCCTGCATCAGCCTCAGCCTCAGCCTCAGCCTCAGCCTCAGCATCAGCCTGCCTCAGCCTCAGCCTCAGCCTCAGCCTGCCTCAGCCTCAGCCTCAGCCTGCTTCAGCCTCAGCCTCAGTCTGCCTTCAGCCTCGGCCTCAGCCTCAGCCTGCCTCAGCCTCAGCCTGCATCAGCCTCAGCCAGCCTCAGCCTCAGCCTGCCTCAGCATCAGCCTGTCTCAGCCTCAGCCTCAGCCTGCCTCTGCCTCAGCTTCAGCCTCAGCCTCAGTCTTCCTTCAGCCTCGGCCTCAGCCTCAGCCTGCCTCAGCCTCAGCCTGCATCAGCCTCAGCCTCAGCCTCAGCCTGCCTCAGCATCAGCCTGCCTCAGCCTCAGCCTCAGCCTGCCTCAGCCTCAGCCTCAGCTTCAGCCTCAGCCTCAGTCTGCCTTCAGCCTCGGCCTCAGCCTCAGCCTGCCTCAGCCTGCCTCAGCCTCAGCCTCAGCCTGCCTCAGCATTCAAAATGCGGCCCGGGAATGGAGTTCTGGGAACTCGAAGAAAACGAAGTGGCCTACAGCTGGTTCCGGGCATTCAAAATGTAGCCCGGGAATGGAGTTCTGGGAACTCGAAGACCACGAAGTGCCCTACAGCTGGCTCCGGGCATTCAAAATGTGGCCCGGGAATGGAGTTCTGGGAACTCGAAGACCACGAAGCGGCCTACGGCTGGCTCCGGGCATTCAAAATGTGGCCCTGGAATGGAGTTCTGGGAACTCGAAGACCACGAAGTGGCCTACAGTTGGCTCCGGGCATTCAGAATGTGGCCCGGGAATGGAGTTTTGGGACCTCGAAGACCACGAAGTGTGTAACCGCTGGCTAAAAAAAAATCCCGGCACCCTCCCCGCGCCCAGACCGCCCTGGGGCGTCATGATGCTCTCTTTTGGCCCTACTAGAAAGCTATCAGTCTTCGCTGTTAGGAAATGATAACACCAAAAAGCTCAACAAATCGTCCTCAGACCATTTGTTGCTTATTCTTGAATATTCCTCCTGTAGAGGGCCCGACGTAAGTCTAAGGCACCCCCCTCTCTCTCTCTCGCTCTCTCTCTCTCTCTCTCTCGGGGGGGGGGGGAAGGGCGGTCCCCGGCACTCAGGGAGCAACCAGGCCCGGGCAGGGCAGCTGGCGGCGGCTCCCTGGTGCCAAACCACGCCGGCGGCCCGCGCGGGACAGGAATGCCAGAGAATCAAGTATCTATTAATACAGCACTCGGAAGAGCAAGGGGAGGGGGAAGCGGGAGGAGCGACCGGCCGGAGGGGGGGGAGGAAGGGGCAAGGGACGGGGGGCGGACGGCAAGCGGCGGTCGAGGTGGTGGTCGTGGTAGCCGTCGTGGGCGCGGGGGCGGTGGTCGTAGTGGTGATCGTGGTGGTCATGGAGGTCGTGGTGGTCGAGGTGGCAGCGGTCGTTGTCGTCGTGGTCGCTCGCGGTGGTCGCAGAGGTCGTGGCGGTTGGCGAGCGTAGTGGTGGTGGGCGGGATTGCAGTAGTGGTCGTGGGGCGGCGGTCGTGGTGGTGGCCGTGGTTGTCGTAGTGGGCATGGGCGGGCGTGCTAGTAGTCGTCGTGGAAGTGGCGGTGGTCGCGTCGGAGCTTGTGGTCGTGGCGGTGGGTTGCTTAAGTCGCGCTCAGCAGCATTTCAGCGCTGCCGAACGCGAGGCACCGCTGAATCTTCCTCCACGTGGTAGAGATAACAGCGGACCTGTCGGCATCAGGCAAGTCCCGACCGTAGGAGCGCACGAAGGCGACCAGCTCGTCCGCTGGCCGGCCCCCGGTCTCCAAGACGGCCGGGATGAGTTCCCCTCCGGCCGGGGGGTTAGCGCGCCCGCTTTTTGTCGACTGCCTGAGCCGCCGCCGCCCCGTCCGTGCGAGCTCTGGCCTGCCTGCGAGCGTTGTTGTCGCTGTGTTCGCAGGTGACAGACCAGTCCACAAAGATCGGGGCGTTGGTAGCGGGGTCGCGCGTGGCCACGTCGAGGATAGCCTCCTCCCAGGCCCCGGTGTCGGGGTGCTGGCGGTCCCAAGCAGGGACTCGCTGCTCTGTCGTGGCCCTGCGGCCCGTCTGAGCGTAGTGCCAGGGCCCGCTCCAGTCTCGTAGGGAGTTGTGCCTGTAGTCCCTTCTGTCCCCACACCCGCACTTCCGGGCGTGCCAGCCTTTGGCGTCCAGCAGCACCCCGCAAAGCGAGCCGTCTTGTTTGCGGTGCTGGCAGCGAGAGCCCGGGGCGCACACGTCGCAGCTCAGACGCATGCGCAGGTTGCCCAGGAAGTGGTTGTCTGGGAGGGGCGCGTCGCCCTCCTCGCGCGGCAGGAGCCAGGCCCCCGCCCCTGGGCCCCCGCCGCCGCGCAGAGCGAGTTGGCCGTCCTCGTCCAGCCTCCGGAGAAGCCGCGCTCTCTTGGCGAAGGAGGTTTTCTTCCCCCAGTACCCTTGTTGCTTGGCCTTGGGTTCGGCCAAGAGAGCTGCCCAGTCCAAGGGTTCGGCCTTCGCCTCCTGCCGGTCGAGCTCTGCTTCGGCGCGGCGCCAAGCGTCTGCTGTCTGAGGGCAGCGTGCCCGGACGGCCTCCGCTGAGGTGGCTCCGAGGCAGCCTGCCACGCTCCGAAAGCAGAAGGCCCAACTTCCGAGGTAGGCGCGGGCGGCGGTCTCCCGGGCCGAGGGGAAGCCGTTTGCCGCCGTCTTTGAGGCGGAGGGTGAGCCACTCCTTCTGCTCATTGCTCAAGGGCCCAGTTGGCCCAGCGTAGGCCCCGAAGAGCAAGTCGTCGAGCTCCCCCACCCAGGCGGTCTCGTAGTTCGCGCGCAGCAGGTGGGTGCAGCAACCCTGGGCGTAGGTGCGGAGCAGCGTGTGTGCCCCTTCCGCCGAGAGCCCGTTCTGGCGCAGCGTTCTCCAGTGGGCCAAGAAGTGCCGCGTTTTGTCCAGGACCTCTCGACCATCGGAACTGGCCAGAAGGGGCAACCTGGCGTCGTCGTCGTCCTTGTCGCGGTCGTACCACGTGACCGGGTTCCCCAGGACGGTCAAGGTGGCGGCCCGGAGCGGCGCGAGCTGGGGAGGGATCGCAGTGGCCGGGCTGGCGGTCCATACCTTGGTCTTGTCCGCGTTGAGCTCCAGGCCGGCCCGGGCCATCTCTTCCCGCACGACGTCGTGTGCCTGGGCGGCGGCCTCCGCTGGCACGACCACGAGCACGTCGTCGAGGTAGGAAAAAAGGCGGGAGGCGGAGCTCAGCAGTTGCAGGCGCTCGTGGGCGCGGGCGAGGGCGTCGGCGATCCCAATGGCGAAAAACGCGGGGCTGAGCGGGCAGCCCTGGTCGACGCCTGTCTCGGCCGACACGGGCATCGGGGTGCCGAGGTCGTCCCAGAAGACGTGCGTCGTAGGCCTCGTCAGCCAAGCGTTGGCGACCAACAGGAGGCTCGGCGCCCGGCGGCCCACTGCGTCAAGCACCGTTTGCCGGGGCAGGGCGTTGAAGGCATTAGTAGCATCAAAAGCCAGGACGGCGGCCCCCGGCATCGCTTCGGCCAGAGCGGTGACGCATTTGTGGACACGCTCGCAGCCCGCCCTCGTGCCGACCGCGAACTGGTGGGGACCGCAGGCGTCTTTCAGCTCCTCTTTGAAGACCTCGCAAGCCGCTTTCGCCGCCAGCCTGCGGAGGACGCTTCCGCAAGCCACCGGCCGCAGTTCCCCATTCTTCCTCCGCAGCGCCACCAGCCGGGCTCCCAGGTTGGCCGTGGTGAAGTCGGCGGGGAGGACGCCCAAGAGGAAGCCCACAGCCACCCGGCAGTTCGCCTCGAGCGCGGCGGAGTCGGCAAGAAGAGTCCTCCAGTGCTCGAAGCGGGAGCCGTTGAGGCCTGGGCCAGACCTCCGCAGGGATTGCTCGATGGCCTTGCGCACCGCGTGCAGGAGCTTTTCTGTGGTCTCGTCGTCGGGGAGCTGCGCTGCAGTGGCGGTGGCGGCAGCGCCCTGTGGGAAGAGGTTCTGAAGTTCGCCGTGAGCACTGGCGTCGGTGACCACCAGGGCCGAGCGAGTAACCAAGGACATGGCTTTGGACACCAGTCCCTCGGAGAGGAAGGTCTCCACGTTCTTCGCGGTGTCCTGTGGTCGGCCAGTGCGCCGTCGACCGGCAGCAGCCGCCCCTGCAGCGGCGGTGGCGGCCGCCTCGCGCCACAAAGCCCCCCAGTCCCCACGCCAAGCTATGCGGATCCACGGTGCGAATGTCCACCCCCAAGTCGTCGTACGAGACACCGTCCCACCAGTCCAAGTTGAGGAGCGTCTGCGTCGAAGCCCCGTCGGCGTCGAGGCCGGGCTGCCGAATGTCGTCGTGGGCGTCGTCGTCGTCCCGCGGGGCCCTGCGGCTCGGCGTCTGCGCCTGGTCGGCTGTGCGGCGGCGGAGGCGTCCAGCGCGTGATTCGGCGAGGTGCTCCGCCCGAGTAGGGCGCCCTGGTTGGTCGCAGGACTGTTGCAGCTCCGCCTGGGCCTCTGGCGAAAGGGAGGCGCTACCCTGGACCAGGTCGAAGGGGCCGAGCCCGCCCTCCACGCAGCTGGGGCAAAAGTAATTCCTGTGGGCTAGGCTGCGGGACGTACGATAGACCCGCAAGTCTCCTTTGGAAAAAGGCCTGCGGCAGGCGCTGGCCTGGCACGCGCAGGAGCGGCGGTGCGGCATAACATCAACAACCCACTCGGACTCTGCTGCTGGACCCGCGTGTGGTGGCGGAGGCTGCGCTGCGGGAGGGCCCGCCGGCGGTCCGCCAGGAGCAGGGGCGCCCTGGGACGGGGCAGCGGGGGCACCCTGCTGAACCGGCTGCGCCTGACCGGCCAGGAAAGCGGGCGCAGCAATTGCCCGAACCAGTAAGACAGCATGACTGGCGAGGGCAACCCTCGGAGGCAGGGTGGCGTACCCAGCGGGGCTGAGGGCGACTGTGACGGTGATGGTGAGGCCCTCGCAAAAGGGTCGGCGGAAGTGCACGTCCGAGGACACAGCGTACACGCACAAGCAGGCGGCGAGTTGCTGCGCGGTGCCTCCGTGGACCACCGCTCCCCAGCATAGGAAGTGCAGGGGGGTCTGCCCAGTGCACGTGGCGATGAGAATGAGTGCAGGGTGAGCTGGTCCGTGGAGCAACGGGCCAAGAACCGCATGCACCACGTGGGTCACACAAAGGCCGCTCAGCACTGAGGGAAGGTGGAGCGGCACCATCACGAGAAAGCTCGGCAAGGCGCCCAGCATATTGTGCACAAGATCCAACACGGGTGCCACTGCGGCCGGCGCCGAAGGCCGGAGCAAATGGACCGTAGCGCAGGCCAGCGGGCTCGAATCTGTGCACAGGGCACCTCTGGCTGAAGATGCACAGCTGCGGACGTGGAACAAGAAGAACAGCTCTCCGCACATCTCCCTGTGTTCACGGGGCCCTCTCTGCCGAAACTTTTGCTGGGCGGCCCGACGCCTCACTGGGGCCCTCTGCACGGCTTCCCTCGGGACCGTAGGCGACCCGAGGAGGAGGAGGAGGAGGAGGAGGAGGAGGAGGAGGAGGAGGAGGGGGAGGAGGAGGAGGAGGAGGAGGAGGAGGAGGAGGAGGAGGAGGAGGAGGAGGAGGAGGAGGAGGAGGAGGAGGTGGAGGAGGAGGAGGAGGAGGAGGTGGAGGAGGAGGAGATGGAGGAGGAGGAGGGAGGAGGAGAGGAGATGGAGGAGGAGGTCGAGGAGGAGGAGGAGGAGGAGGAGGAGGAGGAGGACGGGTCGCCTAAGCCCTTCGGAGAAACCCTCCAGGGCCCTCCGAAGCACTCACGGCCGCCAAGGTGACCCGACACACCCTCGAGACGCAGTCTTTTTGAAATCAGCGGGCGCACGAGTGCGGAAGCGGTCGGGCGCTGGTCGGGCCAAAGGCGGGGCGAGCCGAGGCAAGCTGGGAGGAGGAGGAGGAGGAGGAGGAGGAGGAGGAGGAGGAGGTGGAGGAGGAGGACGAGGAGAAGGAGGAGGAGGAGGGGGAGGAGGAGCGGAGGCGAGGACAGAGCCGCGCAGATCGTACACACGAGAGCCCACGAGAAGCGCCCAAGAGGTCCCAAGAGGCCTCCAGCAGGCCCCAGGATGCTCCCAAGATGCGCTCCAGGAACCCCCTCGACGAGGCAAAAACACGGATGATCTTCAGGCTGCTTCGACGATTTTTTGATCTTCGGGCAAAAACCGATCTTCGAGGGCCCAAGCGTGGCCACTGAAGAACTCCAAGAGGGCCCCGAGACGGCCCACCCCACGGCTGTCCCGAGAGACCCCCTCGGCGGCCAAGAGGGCCCCGGGGGCGGCCCAACAGAGCCCCAAGACGGCCCAAGAGGGCCCCAAAGGACCCCAAGGCTGCCCCATGGGACCCCAAGGCAGCCCTACGACGGCCCAAGTGAGCCCCATGAAAGCTCCTCACAAAATGGAAACGAGCGAGAGGTGACACATGTGACGGCCTCCGTGGCGGTGGTCCAAAGATCGCCACAAAGAGTATGTCGCTGGCACGGTGAAGGAGTTGCCGCAGGCAGCTGGCTATCGTAAGCACGATGCCGGCGCGAACTCTGAGCACTGAGCGCACGTGCGTCAAACACTAGCGACATGACATCAAAGCTGTGTACACAGATGCTGGGGTAGAAGATCACCGACCTTGTCCTCGTGTTCTGTCAATGGTCAGTACGCAATCCTCCCTGATACACGCAAGCACGCAAATGCCACCCACTATCAGAAATGCCTCTGTGTCGAGGAACTCCACCTGTGTGCCTGCACGCGAAGAAGACATGAAGAATACTTCAAATTATTCGCACCGCAAACACCCAACGCGCACAAGCCAACACTTCCGCTCCTTTCAACACTTCGACAAACATCCCGCGGAACCCCTGCATTCCGCAATCAGGCCGAACGCCATGCGGACGGAAGGGGTGACGTCCGTTTCGGAGAGTTCTGCAAATGCCACATCGTCTGTGCCAACTGGTTTTTGCAACGCCTGGGCTCCCTTGATTTTACCTTCTTCGGATGCGTCCGTGTCACTTCCGGCTGAGGCTAGATGGCTTGCTGAGGGTAAGGCGAAGTTGCATGCTCTGCAGCGAATCCGACGCCATCGAACTAAGCTATATGTTCGAGCTGGCCATCCGTATCAATGAAACGCACTGCCTGGTAAAGTGGGTTCTAGCCGTGTGGAGGTGAAACATACGCGGTGTAAGCTATTCGTTGTGAGCCATGTAATCTAAGCAGTTTTGTATCAGTCGGTGTGAACTTTTTTGAGTAAGCTGCGCGTTGAAAACTATGTTGTGTGAGCTATGCGGTGCAAGCTGTCTGGTGTGAGCTAGGTGGTGACATCCTTGCAATATAAGCTATGTACTGCGAGCTATGCGGTGCAAGCGATGTGGTGCGAGCTATGTGGTGCAAGCTACGTTATGTAAGCACTGCGGTGTAAGCTTATTTTATAAGCTAGATGGTGTAAGCTATGCGGAATGGGCGATGCTGTGTAAGCTATGAGGACCCAGCTGCGTTGTGTTAGCGAGTTGGTGTGAGCTACGTGGCGCGACCTGTGCTATACAAGCTACGTGGCGCGGCGCCCACGAGGCACCCACGAGCGGGCATGGACGCGAGCGCGGGGAAACCTACACGGCGCAGGGCTTACCCACGGGGTGCCCACGAGCGTGTGCGGGCGCGAACGTGGCGAAACCCGGGGAAACCCACACAAAGGGATTAGGCACCCGCGGCGTGCCCACTAGCGGGAGGTATGGGCGCGAACGCGGCGAAAACCCTGGAGCTCTGCCCAACGACTGAAGGAAACGAAATCAGACCCCCTAAATGCAAGCACTGTTTGGGGAATCAAGCGAGCGCCGTAAACAAAAAAACGATTGCTTGACAATCAATGGCTACCCCTCGAGAGACCATGAGAAACTTACGACTGCCTTCGCCTCCGTGGTACACCAACTTGCAATGAGGACCCCTCACTTGTGCAAGCCAGCGTAGCCTGCCGAATCATGTCCCGTTTCGAGCCGAATCCTAAGCGCAAACCTAAACAACTGGACGCAGCACCAAGCTAAATGGCATTGAGCCCTGCACTCGCACATACCAGCTGCAGCTAAGGGTCCTTGCATGGCGGCTGCTTGGCGCCACGGCGCTATAGTGCGAAGAACTTGAATGATGATATCTGACTTGGTCTGGCTACTCAGGCTGGTGGGACTGATCCGACCAGCCTGTAATGTGCAACTGGTATTCCTGATCTGGCAGTCTGTCTCGTTTGGTTGGTTCTGCTCGGCCTGGCTCGTTGATATGGTCGCAGTGTTTGTGATAAGGGAGAAGAGTTTGACGAATGCTACGGCTGGCCGGACCAGTCATAGCTGCTCGGCCTGGCATGGTTTGGAAAACGGGAGGAGAGGAGGAGGGATAGGCTGAAAGAGGGAGGGGGAGTTGAAAGGACGAGATGGGAAATGTAGAGGAGAGAGAGAGAGAGAGAAAGAAAGAAAAAAAACATGAAGGGAGAAAATGGGGGAAGGGGAGACAGGGAGCAGGGTTTGCATGGAGAGCGGCCTGCCCGCGGCGCCCCGCCGCTGCCCGCGACGGGCCCCGACGGCGCGGCGCCGCAGCTGTCGAGCAGGGCTCTCGCTCACGAGGCTCGTCCAGGATTACTGGGCCGAGGACCACGCATACTTTTGTCCCCTGGCGAACACCAACTATGCCCAGCTGATTAGTCAAACGCAGCAATGCCAACCCATGCAACCAGAATGCGGCCGCCTGTAATGAAGCACGGGGTTGGTACATTTCTTATAGTTCACAGCTGAACGCAGACGCGGTGGATCTACATCGCGCGCTCGATGGCCCAATCGCTGGAGGCGGAGCAGGCGACGCGCTCCTCGTCGGCTGCCGACTGCGACGCGCGACAGCAAGGGGCGCTCCCAGGCGCGCAGTGGTCGCTCGGCAAAGAGCCACCCGTGGGCGTGCTTCGCGGCGTCCTCCCGGCATCGGAGCACCACCGCCTCGCGGCGAGCCCCGAGGGGACGCATGGCCCCGCGCCGATGCCCGGGCGCGGGAGGCGAAGCCTTGGACCCGAGTTGCTGGCGGTGCCGCGGGCGCCACTCCGCTGGGCTCGCCTGCGCCAGCGGCTCGCGGCGCGCCGCCACGACGCGGGCGCGAGCCACTTCGGGCACCGCCAGCTGCTGGCGGCGGGTCGGGCACCGAAAGGAGGCGCGAACGTGGGCTCGCTCCGAGCAGCTCGGCCTTGACGCGTCGCCTCGCCGAGCGGCCGAGAGGCGTGCCGCGGCCCACGCGGCTGCGCAGCCCCAGTGTGAAAGTGGCGGCGGCACTCCAAGAGCAGAACTAAATCTAAGTTCGTATCCGCCATCGTGCCCCCATGGCTCGTTAAGGTGTGGAAGAATGTGCACGATCTGTGTGGTGAGGTTTTCTTACATGTTATGAGAGGACTGCCCCTCCCTCTACCAGCAGGTTCTTGCGTGCACCTCACCTCCTGTCCGAGGCCACCTCCTTTCGTGCCCGCTCGAGGCTGGTGCACATCCAGCATGGCAGCTAATGCCGAATCCCTAATTCCATGCGTGCCCGATCGAGGATGGTGCAATTCCCGTATGGCAACTGATGCATGAATTATCATTGCGTGCGCGCCCGCTCGAGGATGGTGCACTTCCCGCATGGCGGCTAGCGCCTGAACCCTCATTCCATGCGCGCCCGCTCGAGGATTCTGCACATCCTGCATGGCTGCTAACTCCTAAACCCTCATCCCACACAGACCCGCTCGAGGACCCTGCACTTCCCGCATTCACAGGCGCTGCTCCCAAGCGCTCCAGGGACTCACAAGCCACGATCCCTTTTCACACACAACAGATATGCGCCCCGAGCATACAGGACGGCCCGTGCAGGCAACCAAGGACACCAAGATGGCCCAAGATGCCTCGAAGACGGCCCAGGATGACCCCCAGGCGGGCGAATGAGTTGTGCAAGACGGCCGAAGATGCCTCCAAGGGGGCCCACGTTGCCACAAGAGAACCTCCAACAGGGTCAGAAGAGGCCAACATGATTGATGCCCCTTGGGTTTGGGGACAGTGTTCGCAATCTCGCCTTTCTGGCCGCCGTCAGCTCATCACGGCCCAAAAGGACGCCACCATTTGTTTTTCCCCCCGAGGACGACGTCCCTCCTCCTTCGGGCCTGCCAGCGGTGGGCGCTGGCCATCTCAAGCCTCGGCGTCGCCCTCCAGGGAGGTCCCGACGTTCAGACTGCACGTGGCCCGAATGACGTAGTCGGCGGGAGGACGCCACCATGGCCCAAGAGGCAAGAGGACGCCACCATGGCCCAAGAGGCATCCATGACGGCCCCAAGAGGCCCTCCCGTGGGGCCCAGGACGGCCTCAGAGAGCCCTCCCATGGCCCAGGGCGGCGCCAAGACCGGCCCCGCGGCGGCCCCCAGACGCCAACCGCGCGGCCAAGAGGGCCCAAAGAAGGCCCAAGAGAGCACCAGGCCGGCGTAACAGGGCCCCGAGGCCGCCCAAGAGGGCCTTAAGGGCCCTTAGGGCCCCCCAAGACTGCCTCACAGGAGGCCAAGGCATCCCCAAGAGGGTCCAAACGAGTTTCATCATCATCATCATCACCATCATCATCATCATCATCATCATCATCATCATCATCATCATCATCATCATCATCATCATCATCATCATCATCGTCATCATCATCATCAGCATCATCATCATCATCATCACCAGCACCAGCACCAGCACCAGCACCAGCACCATCATCACCATCATCACCATCAGCATCATCATCATGACCACCATCATCATCGTTATCGTCATCGTCATCATCAGCAACATCAGCATCGTTTTCGTCATCGTCATCGCCATCGTCAGAATCACCATCATCATCATCATCATCATCATCATCATCATCAGCAGCAGCATCACAATCAGCAGCATAATGATCATCATCATCAGCAGCAGCATCATCATCACCATCAGCAGCAGCATCAGCAGCAGCATCAGCATCATCACCAGCAGCAGCATCATCAGCATCCTCAGCATCAGCATCATCAGCATCATCAGCAGACACATCATAATCAGCATCATCATCGTCATGAACAGCAGCATCATCATCAGCAGCATCATCATCAGCATCATCATCATCGTCATCCTCATCGTCAACAGCAGCAGCATCATCAGCACCATCAGCAGCAGCATCAGCAGCAGCATCAGCATCATCACCAGCAGCAGCAGCATCAGCATCAGCATCATCATCATCATCATCATCATCATCATCATCATCATCATCATCATCATCCTCAGCATCAGCATCATCAGCATCATCAGCAGAATCATCAGGATCAGCATCATCATCATCATCATCGTCATCAACAGCAGCATCATCATCAGCAGCACCATTATCATCATCAGCAGCAGCAGCATCATCAGCATCGTCATCATCATCGTCAGCATCATCATCATCCTCATCAGCATCATTATCAGCATCAGCAGCATCATCATCAGCCTCACCAACATCAAGATCCGCATCAACAGCATCAACGTCACCAACACCATCGATCATCAGCATCTCACAACCACCACCTCCATAACCATCAGCGCCATCCTCGTTACATCTGCACTAGCATCATCAACAACATATTCAACATCATCATCATCAACATCATCAGCATCATCAGCATCACCATCCCCTTCTTCGTAGATTCATTTTCACCTGAATCTGCAGATTCAGATTCATCTTCATCTTCATCATCATTTTCATGGCCATCATCATCAGCAGCATCGTGTGAATTGTTATCGTCATCATCACCATCGCAATCGCAATCGCCACCATCATCACATCACACATCACATTACATCACGTCACATCACATCTCAAGCATCAGCATCGTCAGCATCACCACAATCATCATAATCAATATCATCAGCAGCATCAGCATCAGCAACAGCAAAATAGTCGATTTCATTGTCAGCAAGATCACCATCATCATTAGCAGCATCATTATCAACATCATCACAATTATCATCACAATCATCATCAGCATCGTCATCGTCACCGTCATCGTAATCGTCGTCATCATCATCATCAGCATCATCATCAGCATCATCATCAGCATCGCAATCAGCACCATCATCCGCATCATCCTCATCATACTCATCACGGCTCCCCCAGGCCTGGAGACACGAGGTGCCACACGCAACGGCCTCCCGCGCCCCTCGAACAGCCGCGAAGCGTCGCCGCCGTCAGCGGCGGCGGCGCCTCGCGAGGGTGACCCTGCAGGACCACGTTATCATGTGTTGGCCCCGCCCACGGCGCTGGGCGCGCCAGTGTTCGACGCGGGTGTCGCGCTCGGCCCCGTGGGAGCTGAGCCGGTTCGCCGGCGAGGTCGGCCAGGAGGGGCCCCGTCGGCACGTCGGCGACCACCGACTGAGTGGCCCGCTGCACGCGCGGTCTTTCGCAGCTGCGCGAGTTGGCAGGACCCTCCCAGGGCTCCCACGGATCCGATCCTGGCGCCATCCCTGGAGCCCGCGCGCATCTGGCAGCTTCTTCGTTAGATTGACCTGCTGGCGTCGCCATGCCTTGGGCTGGCGGCAGGACGGGCCTCTGAGACACGGCCGACGGCGCGGCACTGCTGAACACCCTAGGTCGACGCAGGACTTGCGCAGGCACATCGACGCACGCGTGACCATGCACCGTCGCGAAGGAAGCCGCTGACCAAGAACCATGGGCATAGCCAGCTATCTGCGCGGAACCGTCGGCTCTGACGAAAAGCGGAGCCGATGCTAGGCTTAGACCGCGGCGATTGGAGCGACTGTTGAAGCGATAGCTTCCGACGCCATGAACGCTGCCCCTGGGATGCCGCCCAAGGGCCTGGCGTCGGCGCTTGCGCCGAAGCTTGGGTTTCCGCCCCAGGCGCCAGTGCTTCCAGAACCAGCCCACGGGCAATCGGCTCTGAAGTGGTACTCTGATCAGCACATGGTGCCCGTCACGGTCTGGCAGCCGTGTCCTCGCTGAGTTCGGCGTCGGCCCTTGTTGTTCCCACTGGGTCGTTGTACTTTGCCCGCAGAAGATGTCGTCGATCTGGCCGTCTGAGGCCCCAGCCAGGAAGCTGTAGCACTGGACTCTAGTAGCTCTACCTTTGCCGCATTACCCTTGCTTGCACATGCTCTGGGATTCTTCCCCAAGAGCATGTCGGCTGTCCCGGTTGTTTCTGCATGTGTCTCCTCCACTGCGTCTTACGCCTATTCGTTTGCAAGAACAGGTCGGCATCTGCCCGTGCGGGCGACAACCCTCTGAACTCTTCCAGAAAGTAGTCCATGGATGCTCCATCGCCTGAGCTGGTGTCCTCCTCCTCCTCCTCTTCCTCCTCCTCTTCCTCCTCCTCCTCCTCCTCCTACTCCTCCTACTCCTCCTCCTTGTCCGAGCTGGCGCCGCCGAAGTAATCAGACGCCCGACCAGCGAGCTTCTGCTCTGCGGCCGGGAGAGCGGCCTTCAGGACAGCGGCGACAGGCCGAGCGCCGCTCGTACCACCTCCAGATAAAGGGAGATACGCTGATGGTCCTGTTTTCCACCACCACCACCACCATAAGTTGGAGGGGGGGAGGAGGAGGAGGAGGAGGAGGAGGAGGAGGAGGAGGAGGAGGAGGAGGAGGAGGCGGAGGAGGAGGAGGACGAGGAGGAGGACGAAGAAGAGGAGGAGGAGGAGGAGGAGGAGGTGGAGGAGGAGGAGGACCCCCTCTCCCTCCAACTTATGGTGGTGGTGGTGGAAAACAAGCCAATCATACGCCGCACTCGCGGCCCATGGATCAAGCCCTTGTTCGAGACGAGGGCCCGCGGTGCGACCGCCATCGGGTTGGATAGGTTGGTCCTCGGTCATGCCAAGAAACCCTGCAGACGATGGCGGTGGCATCAGGACACTGGCGATCTTGTTGGGCGCGTGCTCCACGATGCATCCGCCCGGCTTGATCATCGTCGCCGGGCCAGCAAATGCCTGCTCACTGTGGCTGGGCATCGGATGTCGCAGAGCTGGAGCAATCTCACGAGCTGACAGGACTAGGGAGGCCAAAAGGTACCGATACCGCTACTCCCTGGACCTCTCTTGGGGTGCGTTCTGACCATAATTCCGAGGCGAATCCAACCGTGGCGACGAGGGCCTCCGAGGAGGCCAAGAAAGGGGAAAACGGTCTAAGAGTAGAGGTATGGATACCTTCTCCTCCTCTGATGGACATTGGTGTAGTCTTCGTAATACATCGCAGCTCCGCCGACGTGCGTCACTCGAAAGTAGCCATGGACCGAGGAGGGACGGATGGACCGAGGAGGGACGGATGGACCGAGGAGGCGATGTTCACCAAGAGGTAGGTCACGGCATCTTGGGACTGGCCGTTGATCACGCCACCCTGTGTCATTATCCTGGAAGCTCGTGGAGCGCGTAGCGAGACAAAGCGAGAGCAACGCATCCGTGGCTTCGCCCCGCCCACACGAGAATTCGAAGACCTCTCGCGCGGCTCGGAGGCGTGGCTCTCCTCTCCGAGTGTACCAGACTGCGTGGCCACGGCATCCTGGTACAGTCAACCCGTATCATAAGGACGCACGAGAAGGATGCAAGGGCCTCGGACGGCCATCTCGAAGCTCTCCGGGCGGGGCGCGGCCAACGAAAGTGGCCAAGGATGGACCGAGGAGGGAAGGATGCAAGGGTACCCTTGGGAAGGGTGCCCATCCTTACCATACGGGTCGACTGTACTGGCCGTTGATCATGCCGCCCTGTGTCAGATCCTGGAAGTTCGTGCAGCGCGCCAGCTTGCGAGCTGCACCGACCCGCTGCAAGAGGATGGCGGCGGCACTGCTAGGCACTGCGCAGGCCTGTTGCGAGGACACCCCGCGCCAGGAGGTCCTGGACCCAGTCACGGAACGGGTACAGTGACTCGCGTTTGGGCTACCAGGCTTGGTGGCTGCCGAAAATTGGCGCCGCCTCGGCCTCCGCCCTCGCATCCTCCAGCCTGGCCAGCTCCGCCTGGCATCAAGCAGGCGAGCCATGCCAGGGTGACTACTGTTGGGAAACGATGGCATCTCATAGCGGTAACATGGTGAGCTTACCAAAAGCTCCACCACGATGGGAATCCTACAAGCGCGTTGGACTCGGGCCTGCAGGGGGCAAATGCAAGTTTGCTGCCTGAGGTGGCCCCAGAGGCGCCAGTGCCCTTGTCGACAGCCAACGGGCCAAGGGAGGTTGAGGTAAGTGCTCTGGCATGCTGTAAATCCTTCGTCGAGCGAAGGGAGTTGAAAGTGGACAGGAGGAAGAGGAGGAGGATGAGGAAGGAGGACGACGAGGAGGAACAGCAGCAGCAGGGGCAGGAGCTGGAGGCAGCGGGAGGAGCGGGAGGACCAGGGAAGAGCGGAGGAGGGCGCAGGAGCGGGGCAACGACAATGAGGAAGGATTCGGACCCAGAAAAGTACCCTGCGCTACGGCGAAAGCCCCATTTCGGGGGCGCGCAAACATGGATCGGGGGAGGTGCCCTCCCCAAAACGCGGCCAGTGCCGCCTCGCTCGGCGTCACAAATCGACGCCCTCTTGTTCCACGTTTGCGATCGCCTGACAATTCTGAACGACGGAATCAAAGCGCCGATCAAAAAACGAGGCCAACGCTGCAGCGGGAGCAGCATCTTGAAACACCGAAAGCCTTCCGACCGAATGCAAGCCAAGATGGCAAGTCAACTTTTAAAGCTCCTCCGTATGAAGATACACAGAGGGAGGCAAGATACTTTCAGCACGTAGTTGGGGGAGAGAGGAGCATTCAGATAATTGGCTGTCTCCCTCCCCCTCTCCCTCCTCCCCGGGAGTCCTCAGAGGGGGGTATTCCTCCAGCGTTGGCTCGAGATCCAGTCAACGGCATACCTAGCAGCTCCTTCCAAGGATCGCATGGACAGGCACCGACAGCGACGCGACCTGCAACACATACCGGGTAATATGCGATCTAGACGGTCCGAGTGCCCACACGAGGCCGCCAGCAAGTATCAACCGATGGGCCGGAAGGTGGGTGCGAGGAAGGGCCGGGCAGCCCAGCGAGGGCGCCAAGCGAGGCGCAAGAGACACGCTGGAGAGTGAGCTTGCGACGGCGGGCGAACACCTGGCTTGCTGAACAAGTCGATGTGCTCCAAGTTCCTCCCGCAAGCCGCCCGTGGTTCCATCACCTTGTCCTTTGCATGCTCACACAACCTTGCTCTTGTTGTTCTGCCCTGGTAGCATGACACGTACGACGAGGGCGCCCTGGGCAAAGAGAATAAGTGTTTCCTGCGTCGGGCAGGACACCACTCAAACCGACGCCCCTGGGCCCCTCGCGGACATCGCCCCACCGTGTTTCCGACAGCCGCGTCTAGCCGTAGCGACGAGGCGAACGGTAGACACGAAGAGGAAATAAGTAAACCAATTCGAAATGGAATCGCAATCAGAATGGAAAGACGCGTCTTGTACATCCAGTTGCACAATACTCGGGTCCCGCAGCATGTGGTAGCAATTACTACCACTCTGGTCATCGCTCCCTTGCTTGATTTTTCCTATTACCATGAATAGTGGCATCAGTGCGATTGTGATCTGAGTGTCACGCTCCCACACCCTTCACTCATTAACCCGCCTCCTGCCCTACTTACGGATCATCGGACTCACCGAGACTTGCACTCCGTCACGCCCAGACACAATCATAGCCTTGTTCGCATTGAGACTTACTCACACTCCGACCCGTTCATACTCAGTCACTCGCACTCAGACTCGCTCACACTCGGTCTCCCTCACCTTCGGCCTCACTCACGCTCAAATTCACTCATTCCCTAGTTAATTCGCTCAAATTCAGAGCCACCTATGTTCAGACGCACTCAAACTAACTCACTCCTACCCAGACTCAATCGTACACTTACGTGTTCCTCCTGCGTGCCGATGGAATGCAACCAGCGAGTCAAGTACAAATGAGACCGGCCGTATGAAAAATGCTTCACCATGCATTCAAGCATACACACATACATACACACGCGCATACATGCACACATACACACACTCACTCAGACGTAGGCCCACTACCACTCAGCATCACGCAAAGCCAGACTCACTCATGCCCAACCGCCCATACTAAAACCCCATCACACTCGTGTCCACCCATAGCCAAACACTCATATTCATACTTACTCACTCACTCACTCACCCACCCACTTACTCACACACGCACGCTTTTACGTCAGCGGCGCAGGGGATCCTCTGGCGCGAAAAGCACATGGAAGTGCGAACTGCGATCGAATATCATCGAAGGCACAGTATACACACACTCATTCACACACACACACACATCACCCGGAGCACCAATGGACACCGCGGTGTAGCAGGCATGGCACTGAAGCCATCCAAGGGGGTTGTCGAACAGGGGTCGAGCACGGGACCCGTTCGCACTCTCGGTTTGCGGGGACCTCTCCTGCGAAACGCCAGTTCCAGCCTATGCGAGACGCTAGTTTCAACCCAATAGATGATGTCTTCTCGGAGCCCCATGATCGCCGCGATGCGTTTAACATGGTATTTGGCCCCCCCCAAGGGTTTTCGTCGACCAGGGGTGGTACACGGGCCCGCTCGTGGCCAGATTGCCCCGACCACCAAAAAAACGCCCATTCTCGCCCAGTGGGCGAATCTCTCCTCAGAGCCGCATGGCCAACGCTGTGTCCCAGGCATGGCCCTCGGGCTGCCGAGGGGGCGCTGCACAGGCCCGCTCGCGCCCAGAGCGCGGAGACCTCTCAGGCGCAACGCCCGTCTGGGCCAGCAGACGAGTCCCTCCTCAGAGCCCCGTGACCCCGCGATGCAGCAGGCATGGCACTTGTGCCTTCCGACTGTCGAAGACGGCGAGAAGGTCTGGCTCAGGAAGGGTGACTTCGACGGCTGCTGGGGTGCCTCAGGTCGTGCTGGAGTGCCGAAAGGTTTGGCTGGGGGGACCGCGAGTCCAGCGAAACCAACCTTGTCCAACGAGCCTTGCAGGCAGCCTCCGAAACTGGGCGTGTTGACCAAGGGCTTTCCGCGAGCCCGTTTTCGCGACCGGGCTGCCGGCACCTCCTCTCCACAGAGAAACGCCCGGCCTTTGGCCCAGCGGACAGGCCTCTCTTCTCAGAGCCCCTCGGAGCCCCATATGACCCCCCCGATGCAGCAGGCACGGCACTCAGGCCTCCCAAAAGGGCGTCGACCAGGGATAGTCCACGGGCCCTTTCTGACTACCTACCAGACCACCCCAACCCAACCCGAAGACCCGAATTTCGCCCGAATTTCGCCCGAATTTCGGGTTTGGAGGGGGATGGGGGTCATAGGTGTTTTTCCGATGTTCCCCGACCCCCCGCACACTGGAAATAGAGGACAAATCGCTTGGGCCGTCTGGAAGCCCTCTGGGCCAGTTTGCGACCCATGTCGGCTCCCCTTCTCGCTGTGACGGGCCCTGAACAACCTCATTTTCCCACGGTTTGCAAGGAAGCTGTGGTGAACGATCCCGGGGAAAATCCAAGGGGTCGGCGGATGTGGCGGAAGCCTGAAGAATTATAGAAAATCGTCCCCCGACTGTTATTTGTTGACTAGTTTGGAAGATTCCCCCTGTAGAGGGACGCGCCCGACTTAAACCCAGATCGCCCCCTGCATGTAACACGCGAGAATTCTCGTAGCACAATCCGCTCGCACCCTGGCCCGCTTGTCACCGGCGGCACACTTGTCGGGTGTTGCCAGAAGTGCTCCTGGACCAAAATGCCCCCAGCGTTTCGCTCCATTGTGGAGCCCCTGGGGCCCTCTGGGCCTCGTGAGGGGCGCTCTGAAGGCCATGGGGGCCTCCTTGGGAATCCTGGGGGCACCTTGGGCCAGGTGCACTTCTAGCAGCACCCGAAATTGTATTCACTAACGCACAGGCCCAGTTGCACTCGGATTCGCTCTCATTCCAACACTCATCAAGGAAAGCGCTAAAACATGGATGTGGAGACCTCCGCATCGAAGGATTCTTACTCGTCGTCAATCGTCGTCGCCACCCTCCTCGGCCTCTGACTCCTCGGACTCTCCGTCGTGCTCCTCCTCGTCCTCCTCTTCTTCTGCCTCTGCCTCCTCATGCTCAGCTGCATCCTCCTTCTCCAGATCCGCCTCCCCATCCCGAGATCCTCTCCTCACAACCCGCTCCCTTCCCCTTGCTCTGCTTGACTCCTTCTCCACGCTCTCGTGGTTCCCACCAGTGCGCTTAGTCTGCCAGTTTCCCATCCTGCCTTATCCTGTCCCAGTGAACGCTGTGGCCAGGCCGATCGTCCCCTGCGGCCGTTGATACTCGACACCCAGAGACAGCTCAGTAATCTGCAACAAGCGGGACCCGATCTCGTACTTCAAAGTGAGCGGAAGCCTACCCCCACTATCATGCGCAATGCGTGGCCGATGACGTGCAAGGAAACATACAAGCATGTCCAGACACGAGCAGGAAGCGCCGCATGTAGCTCATAAGGAGAAGGAGGACAGAAGGGAGAGGAGGAGGAGGAAGAGGAGGAGAATCAGGACACTGAGGCGGGTGGTGAGGAGGAGGAGAACAGCATGGAGGACCAGGGGAAAGCGAGGATGACCAAGAGGAGTGCGAGGAGGGGAAGAGTGGGGAGGACGAGGAGGAGGACAGGGCTCTCGAGGAGGAGGAGGAGGAGGAGGAGGAGGAGGAGAAGGAGGAACGACGACGACGACGAGGAGGATGAGTAGGACAAGGTGGGAGAGGACAAGGACGACTAAAGGGATGACGAAGTAAAGAACAGCGTAGAGGGCAATGAGGGCAGTGAGGAGGACGAAAGAGAGGAGGCCGACGAAGAGAACAGGGACCAGGGGCACGAGGAGAAAGAGGTGGAAGAACTGAAAGCCCCTGGTGTTCTCGGGGCCACGGTGGGGACTACCAGGAGCGTCTGGGGCCGTCTGCGAGCCCGCGTGGGGCCTCTCCGAAACCTCCTGGGCTCTTCTTGGGGACGTCTGGGCCTTTTCGGACTGCCTGGGCATGTCTTGGGAAGCTTTGGGAGCTCTCTTGGGGCGCCTCCTTGGGCCGTTTTGGGGGGCTCCCCTTGAGCCATCTTGGGGCCTCCTGGCGCGCCGTTGGGAGCCGCTTGGGGCCCTCTTGACGCGCTCTTGGCGCTCTTTGGGCCCGCTGGAGGGCTTCGGGGGGCTCCTTGGGAACGTCTTGAAACCTTCCAGCAGCGCTTCAAAGACGATGTTGGTTCAGAGCCCCCTCTGAAGCCGACTTCGGGATGATGTCTCGAGCGAAACGACCATGATTGGAAAAAGCTTGGCATGAACGGGAAACGCGTGATATCGAAGAGCTGCGCAGTGATTTTCGACAACAGCGTAAGGTAATCCCACCAGCCCTCTGGGCGTCGGTGGTTTAGAGCGTTTCCTCTTCCACCCCTCCTTCTTCCCCTTCGGGGAGGGGTTTACCCCTCCCCCTACCCCCTCCCCACTGACCTGGACAGGGGGTTCCGCGGCGCGTTGGAGCGTCCAAGATCGACCCCTGGGAGGGCTAAAATTCGACACCCCTCACGAGGATCGTGGCTCCTGAGGGGGGGACTGTAATTAGGGAACCCCCCTTCGTTGATCGATCTCCTCCAAGATGGCTCCGAGGCCCCCCAAGAGGCCCCCAGGAGGCCCCCAAGAGACCCCCAAGAGGCCCCAAGAGACCCCCCAGAGGCACCCAAGAAGCGCCCAGGAGGCCCCAAGAAGCGCCCAGGAGGCCCCCAAAGGCCCCAAGATGGCCCCAAGAGGCCCCAAGAGGCCCCCAGGAGGCCCCAAAGAGGATCCCGAACGGCCCACAGAGGCACCCCCGAGGCACCCAAGACGCCGAAAAGCCCCTCAGGACGACCCTCTACTCGCCTGGGCGTCGTTTCTGGACGGGCTGGTGGGGATACGCGAAGCGTCTAGAATTGATGGAGTTCACGACCTGCGCCAGTTCAGACGGTGCGCTGATCTAGCGTGGGTAGTGCACTGCTCCTGGTATTGATCCTGATCCTGCTGCTACTGATCGTCCTCTTCCGCCTCCTTGACCTCGTCGTCCTCCGAGTCCTCCGGAAACAGGCGGAGTCCACTGACCGCACCAGTACAGACATGGCGTTGAACTCGCGCAGTTCATAAACTGCTCCGGTTCTCGATCATTAGTCGCCCCCCGCCTCGTCCAAGAGTGACAAAAACAGGGCGCGAAAATGAGGGAGCACAGCTAGTTGTCCAGGCGAGACCGACGTTGAAAAACTGCCCCTGCCGGACCTCCCACCGAAGACAAAAGCGTAGAGCAACTCGGGGAGTTCCGAACTCGGGTGATGCCCGGGAACACTGGAAAACACGCAGGTAATCAATGGTTCTTGATGTAACGTCGTAGACCCGTGCTCGGGGGCGCGCAAAGGTGGATTAGCGATCCGGTCGCCAAATCCATAGATCGAGGCAAATGCCCTCCCCGAAATGCGGCTGGTGCCGCCTCGTTCGGCGGCGGGAAATCCGCGACTTCCCATGGAAACTGGACCCGTCGCTATTCCACGCCCCCTCAATCCATGCCTGCGATCGCCCGACGTGCGACGGCAGTTTTGAAAATATCTCGCCCCCTTGTCATCGCCCCCTGACTGAGTCTGGACGGCGGGGGGTCAGAGGGTCGCTGCTGTCCCAAGATGGCTCTGTGGTGGCTCGAAGCTCCGCAAGATTTCATCCAGGATGGCCCAAACTGGCCCAAGATAGCCCGACATGGCATTTAGATAAAATCCCTCCACGAGGCCCCACGACCACAGCCAGACAGCTCCAGGTGGCCGCGGAGCCTTGCTTGCTTGGCATCGCTTAGGAATAGGCTGGTGGGGACCCATTCAAAGCATCAAGGATTTCATTTGCACACTCATCGGCCGAAAATCACTTCACCTGCGGCCTTCGAAAGATCAAAGGGCCTCGGAAAGTCCCAAGAGGACGCCTACACGGTCAAAGACGGCCCCAAGAAAGCCCCAAGATGGCTCAACAGGGCCTCCGGAGAGACCCAAGACGGCCGAAGATCCCCTACACGGCCAAAATGGCCCATAGAGGAGCCCGAGATTGCCCAAGAGGGCCCCAAGACGACCGATGATGGCACCAAGGGACCTCCAGTGCCCCATTAAGATCCCAAGACAGCCCACAAACTGTCCAATCAAGTAGCCCGCGTGCCCTGGCTCTTGCACCAAGGAGCTGCGAGGGACAGGAGGCTTTCGCCTCCTTCCTCCAGGAGTTCCTTCTGTGCCCAGACGAACGACGAACGACGAACGAACGAACAACGACGACGACGACGAAGGAAAATAAAGAGGCCCGAGCTCTAGAACACAGCTGTGCAAGAGCAGGGGGGAAGTCAGGGACGCCGAGGAGAACGACGAACGGGAGGCCGGGGGGGAGGGAGGACGACGAACGGGAGGCCAGGGGGAGGGTGCGAGGGGGGCTGGGTCCAGAGTGGGTTAGGGAGGCCAGGGGGGGGAGAGCGAGTGGAGCTGGGGAGGGCTGGGTCCAGGACAAGGCCAGGACGGCCAGGAGGGAGGACGAACGACGAACGAACCAACGACGACAACGAAAATGAAGAGGTCCGAGCTCTAGAACACAGCTGTGCAAGAGAAGAAGCCCTGTGAGAGCTCCCCAAGAGGTGGAGATGAGAAGTGTCACATGCGACTGCCTTCTAGGCGGCGCTCACAGGGTCGCCACATGCTTCTTCTGCACATTGGCAGGACTTTCCGCAGGCAGCTGCACAACGCCACAGTGGTTGCACCAAGGGCAGCTTGCGCCGCAGCGCACGGAGACATACGACCTGAAAAGGAACTGCTCCAGATACGAGAACATTGCGAGCAAATCACCCCGGTAACACTGAAGGCCATTCGTCCGCATGATCCTACTATGTCGGCGACACCAAGTTGGCACCGTCAACATGGCTCGCAGTATGCTGCGTCCCAGCACGTAAACACCAAAACAGAACACGATTCGATGTAAAGTGAGGCAGCACACGAGCAGCTTGTCACGCGGAGATGGTGAAGCGAATGCCAATGGCATGTATGAGGACTGCAGCTGCGCAATATTTTGGAATTGATTCACGCGCGCCCGCGCTTGCCACAGCTTCGTGAGTCCCACCAGCCCTCTGGGCGTAGGTGGTGTAGAACAGATCCTCTTCCACCCCTCCCTCTTCCCCCTTGGGGAGGGGTTTACCCCTCCCCCTACCCCCTCCCCTGGACCTCGACGGAGGGTTTCGCGAGCGGTCGGACGGCTCTTTTGGCCCCAAGATGGCTTCAAGAGCGCGTCAGAGAGCCCAAGATGAGCTCCGAGATGGCTCAAGATAGCGCAAGATCGCTCAAGATGGCTCCTAAGATGGTTCCAAGAGGCCCCAAGACGGCCCCAAGACGGCCCCAAGACGGCTCCAAGAGGCCAAAGAGCTCCACAAGGAGGCCCCGAAGAGGCCAACATCGTCCCAAAACCTAAGGAAAAACAATGTGTTTTGCTTTCTCGCCTTTTCGCTTCCGATGGCCTTCCGAGGCCTCAAGATGGCTCCAAGATGGCCCAAAAGGGCCCCAAGAGAGGCCCAAGAGAGCCCCAAGACGGCCCAAAGAGCGCCCAAGAGCGCTCCAAGAGCGCCCCAAGAGGGCCCCAAGAGGCGATGTATAGGGCTCCCGAGGGGGGAGGCTAATTGAAGCTCCCCTCTTGTTTGATCGACTCCCTCCAAGATGGCCCCAAGAACGCCCCGAAGGCTCCCGAGAGCGCCCCAAGAGCGCCCCAAGAGGCGCCAAGACGTCCCCAAGAGGCGCCCAAGACGCCTCCAAGAGGCTCCCAAGAGACCCCCAAGAAGCCTCAAGAGGATTTCCGAAAAGGCATTCAAGACGCTTCTGGCTCTTCGGTTCGCCGTCCTCGTCCTCTTCCTCTTCCTCAACCACCTCTTCCTCTTCCTCCCTCCTCCTCCTCCTCCCCCTCCTCCTCCTTCTCCTCCTTCTCCTCCTTCTCCTCCCTCTGCTCCTTCTCCTCCTTCTCGTCCTCCTCGTCCTCGCCCTACTCCATATCCTCATCATTCTCCTCCTCCTCCTCCTCCTCCTCCTCCTCCTCCTCCTCTTCCTCCTCCTCCTCCTCCTCCTCCTCCGACGACGACGACGATTCCTCTTCCATCCTCCCCCTCTCGGGGTCTGTGACAGCTTCCCCCGCCCTTTGTTATTCTGCATGCTCCCCGACTTCCCTGATCACCTCAACTCCCCTGAACATCGTTTCTGGATGGGCTGGTGGGGATACGCGAAGCGTCAACAATTGTAGCGCCCACTGAATGACAACCCAACACACGTGTAACTGGCCGGCCCGCTCTCCCCGACCCCTTGCCGGGGGAGTATTGTGGTGAAGTATCTGTCTTCATTCAACAAGTACTGCTTAAGCCATGTGCCAATTGTCGTTGAAGTCGAAGACTTGCTGCTGTGAAGCTTGATTTCCTGCCATCTCAACGGCGATGTTCGCGGAGAGAGCGTGCGTTAATGGCGTCAGCAGGAAACCCTTGCGCATGGCAACAATGAGTGGCGCGCTCAAACTGCATGCAGACGTGCTACAGTCAATCACACAAACACTCCAACAAAATCCAGAAAAGTGATAGCCTGGGCATGCAATAAACGCATCAGAGAGACGGTTGCATGTGCGCAGGTGGGCTGACTAAGTTTGCGAACGAGCTTGACAGTACACTCGGCGCTGATGGTCGTGCAACGTCTGGCTTTCTGATGTTTGCACGCGCGCAACTCAAGCAAACTATCTGCTAAACCAATATTCCCTACCTCGGCTCTGCCTACAAAGTTCTTGCTTTGTTTCCTTAAAGGGGCCGGGCAGTGTAAAACGCCCCGGGCGGTTCCCCCAGTCCCCGCCCCGCGGTTCCCCCAGTTGCGCCCCCTGGGTTCACCCAGCTTATCTTAGCTAAGCTAAGCTAAGCTTAGCTTAGCCTAGCCTAGCTTAGTTTAGCTTAGCTTATCTCATCTTAGCTTAACTTAGCTTAGCTTAGCTTAGCTTAGCTTTCCTAACCTAGCTTAGCTTAGCTTCGCTTAGTTTCGCTCAGCTTAGCTTAGCTTAGTTTATATCATCTTAGCTTAGCTTAGCTTAGCTTGGCTTAGTTTGCCTTAGCCTAGCTTAGCTTAGCTTAGCACAGCTGGACTTACCCTAGCTTAGCGCAGCGCAGCAAAGCGCAGCGCAGCATTAGCACAGCATAGCATAGCATAGCATAGCATAGCCAAGCATAGCATAGCATAGCACAGCACAGCATAGCATAACATAGCTCAGCATAGCATAGCATAGCATAGCATCGCATATCATAACATAGCACAGCATAGAGCAGCATAGCATAGCATAGCATAGCATAGCATTGCATTGCATTGCATTGCTTAGCATAGCACAGCGCAGCGCAGCATAGCACAGCATATCATAGTACAGCGCAGCATAGCATAGCATAGCATAGCATAGCATAGCATAGCGCAGCATAGCATATCATAGCATAGTCTAGCATAGCATAGCATAGCGCAGCATTGCATAGCATCGCATATCATAAAATAGCGCAGCATAGCATAGCATATCATAGCGCATCATAGCATAGCATAGCACAGCCTAACACAACACAGCGCAGCCGAGCGTAGGTGTAGATGTAGATGAAGCTGTGAGTCTCGCTGTTGATGTTGATGTAGATGCAGATACAGGTGTAGATGTACATGTAGCTGTCGGTGTAGATGTAGATGCTGCTTTCCTAAATGCTCCAACTCCTAGGTAGGTTCGTACTGGGATAATTTTATATTTTAAACCTGAACCTGCAGAGGCACCGCACCAAGCGTGCGAACTGGGAGGTCACGCGCAAGAAATTCGCACAAAACCATGAGATGTGGGCCCACTTACCTCAACCACCACTCTCCTCTCAATTCCCAATCAATTCCCCCGTCATCGTCGCACTTTCTCCAATCCACCTCTCCACCCTCTTTTCCTCTGACCTCATGTTTTAGAGCGGCGTCGGACACATGCCATGTGTATGAAGTTGTGCCGCAGAGGCTACGTGCGCATGGAGGCACATACTCTAGGATAGAATCTGCCCGTCGCAGAATGACAGGTGCTCGTAGTGTCAAGATGGGTGGCGCTTGTGTGGGGCTGCACACCTATGAAGCGATGGTCACATGCAAAAAAGAGGGATGGCCAGACCGACCAGCACAACTGGGTGGCTGGAGTGGCCAGACGGGCGTAGGCTTCGCGATCAGGGTACTCCAAGCCAGGCAAGAACGAAGAATTCCTGCGCCTTCTGCAAACAGGCAGGGAACTTCTCGGCTGGGGCGTCGCGACCTAAAAACGCACACGTGAACCACGCGTGCTGTGCAGAGTCGAATCTCTTTGAATCCCCTTCTTCCCCTTCGTGGAGGGTTTTTACGCATCACTGCTCCTTGCTAGTGAACACCCTCCCCCCCTCTCGACCGACCGCCGACTCAGAGCAAGAAGGGCCCCCCCCACCATCCTTGTCAAAAGGGCACTGCAAAGCGCAGGGGGCGACGGCTGTGGAGAACACATAGACCAATCGTTTGGCCAGAGTTCTGCCCAGCGAGTGGCTACATGGGCGCTTCCAAGAGGCAATGGACGGCGGTGATTCGCCGTGGGCGTCTTTGAAACACGTCCTGGGCGACGCCAATACCTTCATTGGATCAAGATGTATGGCTTTCGTACTGCCATGTTTATGGTCCAATCGTGTTGCATTCTACTTCGCCCAGGCATGTGTTATGGCACGCCCTGGCTCTCGCGTGCTTTAACGGACTCGTCCTCGTGAATTCTGATGTTGGCGCGGTTGCCTCCGAGTAAGCACCCGTGCAGCGTCCGAGACTGCGAATGGTGACGCCCCCCCACCGCAGGAGGAAGGAGGGGGGGGAGGGGGGGGGAGGGGCAAAGAAGCGGGGACAAAAGGAAAGGGAGAGGAGAGAAGAAGGCGGAGGCGGAGGTGGAGGAGGAGGAGGAGGAGGAGGAGGAGGAGGAGGAGGAGGAGAAGGATCGGGGGGGACCTTGTGCCAGGAGCCCATAGACGAGAACGGCTTCCACATGGCCACCTGCCAGCCCAGGGATGGCGCAGTCAGACGCCATGGTGAGCCGGCCGAGGCGGTGGGGGGGCTTGGCAGGGCGCTGGATGCACAACCGCCCGCTCTGCGAACAACGCGTGCCCACCTGGGATCGCTGCCGCTCCCGTCGGCCCACCGAGGGCGCCGGCCCATTCGTCTCCGAGCGAGACATCTTGGATCCCAGACCCCCGACGTCATGATTTTTTCATGACGCGACCCCCGGAGGTCTGAACCCTTCCTCGGGACCGGTTCTTCACCCCGAATCGATTTTTGACGCTCCCGAGGCGCGGTAAGGGCCCCCGGAGGCAGAAAACAGCGAAAAACCTTCCGTCGTGATCTTTTCATGACCCGAGGGGGTCTGGGATGTCCAAAACGAAGACGCGGATGGTAAGCGCTGGGAGGATGTTGCCATGCGGCACCCCACGGCTCCGGACGACTCCGCCGTGCGCGTCGCTGCGCGGAGGCCTGGAGGGGCCTCGCGTCGAGCCGTGCGGGAGAGGCACGAGCGGTATCCTGGCCAACGGCCGACAGCGCTCGCCGTGGAGGCCGCGGGTCGGCTCGGCACGGAGGCGCGCCAGTGGCTGATCAACCACGCGCGCGAGCTGTCCGCGAGGGGGGTCCTGGCGCTCAGTCCAGGAGGAGGAGGGGAGGAGGAGGAGGAGGAGGAGGAGGAGGAGGAGGAGGAGGAGGAGGAGGAGGAGGAGGTGGGAGGGGAGGAGGAGGAGGAGGAGAGGAGGAGGAGGAGGAGGAGGAGGAGGAGGAGGAGGAGGAGGAGGAGGAGGAGGAGGAGGAGGAGGAGGAGAGGAGGAGGAGGAGGAGGAGGAGGAGGAGGAGGAGGAGGAGGAGGAGGAGGAGAGGAGGAGGAGGAGGAGGACCTTTTGGACCTTTTGACCAAACACAAGGTCGTGCGGGGAAGGGGGGGGGGGAGGGGGAGGAAAGCGGACCCCGCACGGGGGTGCTTTGGTGCAGGCGGAACCCCACCTCACCGCCACACCCCCGCACCTCCCACTGGCCAGCGTGCCCTCCGAGGGAGGGCCCGTTAACCAGCGGAGGCGGGCGGCCCACCCTCCCCACCCTCGGGCACAGCATCACGAGCGCACAGCCTCTCCAGGCCGCCGCGTTCGCGCGCATCGAGGGCAGCTTGCACAGGCTTCGGCACCCCCTCTCTTCGGGGGTACTTGCCCCCCTCGATGCGGCTTAAATTCTCTCGGCCTTTGCGGGGCATGCCCTCACATTTCGCCGCGAGGTGGCGTCCGTCGACCGTGGCGTACCTGCCACAGGTGGTGCAGAAACTCATGAGATACCGCTCCCACCGCTGGACGGCATGGGAGGGGTGCACATCCCTGCCCGCCGCCAAGTCCCCGCCACTCGCCCCCACTCCCAGGACAGGGAGGCCTCGGCACTGGGTCTTGGCGGCTCCGATGAGCCGAGTCACGGGCACAACAATATCGCACTGACTGCACCTCCAGGAGCCCCCGGCTTGCTCGAAGCGGTGGCTGGAGGTCTGCAGCGCGAGCTGCCCCCTCGAAGGGGGGGCTCTCCGCTGCACAGAGGCCCGCGCTCCACTCCATGGGTCAGCCTCCGCGGCCAAGGCCAACGCTCGCCTTGCGCGCGCTCTAACCAGGGTGCCGATCGCATCCCAGTGGTCAGTCTGAGGCTCGCCCGCCGCCGCCGACACCGCCCGCCCTCTCCCAGCCGCCGCCTGCGCCTCCTCATCGGCCAGGGCGCTGCCCTAAATTAGGCAAGGATCGATCGGGTCGCTGAGAGAGGTGGCTTCGTCCATGTGGGAGGGGGCCCATTTCAGGTTCACCTCCGACGACCGAGCTTGGAAAGCCACCCGAATTCTAGACCACGGATCTTGATGTGTGCCACTCTGATGGAACTGCCGACCCCTCCCCCATGCTTTCATGAGGGGCTCGTGGTCAGTCACGAACAGAAACCGCTCGGGGACATGCCCCAACGCGATGGCAAACGCGAGCAGCTCCGCCCGAGGGACCGTTTGACGCTGACCCCCTACAGGGGTCGAAAAGCCCCACGCCAGCCTCCAGCCCCCTTGGCCGTCAGGCTGCATGGCGATCACCGCAGTGCCACACCTCCGGCTACGCGGGTCCGCACTGTGCCCCCCCCGATCCGTCTCAGAAAACCACCGCACACAAAGTTGGGATGCGGCTCAACCTCAGAAATCGGGAGCGGCCCCAGGGACCGAAGGTTTTCTTCAGGAAAAACCGTGAGATGGGTGTAGCTCTTAGGAGGCACTCCTCTTTAAGCCACAGCACTGGGCAGCTCTCCCATTGCACCTGGGCCTGCTGTCTGATGCACTCACTCTTCTCGAATTCTTCAAAACCAACATTGCAGGGG